ATCATGCTCCTTTGAGAATCGGCTATGTTGACGAACGTTCTAACACGTGGCCTATTTATCGGTTGTTTACGCCTGCTTTGTGTAGGAGCTAGCCTACGCCGTCTGGCAGAGTTTCAGCTTCATTAGCTCAAAGGGCTACGACAAACCGTTGACTGTACTCGGGTCCAAATTAAGAATTTATTGTGCGCGAACCCTCGTCCGCGACTGGAGCTGCGCAGAACTTAGACAATCGTATCTGTGGATTAAATCGATATATAGTACATGGGGCCACATTATAATCGGTAAATGCTGAATCCGTGTCAACATTCTATGGTCAACTATAGATGTCATTTGAGCAGGGTGTAGTTCGAAAACGAGTATTTTTCAAGCAACAAAACGTTTTCAGTAGAAAACTAATGAATTCTGATTAAGTAGCAATGAGCCGCAGTGCATCCGTGGGAAATTAGATTGACTGCTACCCGTAACAAGTATATACGTTTTTGCCAATATAAATCTTCCCAATTGCATAACGAAAGGCGGCGTAGTCCGGTAACTCTTTGTATGCGTTTCCAATGTAACCGCAAACATGCGGCCATTGCAAGCCCAAATATCAGTATTGGTATATCTTTACTATAGAATATAGTTGGCACGTCTTTTTAAACGTTTATTGGAGAAATCCCAATTATATTCAACAAGACCCACTCCGGCTAGACCTTCAATAAAGATAAGATCTTCGTATGCTGCACTGAAGCGGCGATTCCAAAAACGTGTTTACACAGTTCACTTGTTTATCATAGGTAAAAATCATTCCGAAAATCCTATATGGAGATTTTATTTGGCCTATCGCCAGGCTTCCTGAAGAGCCTTTCCAGTGACCTGTAAGAAATACGCGATCGCTCTACACAATGACGAGAAAAGGCGAGACCTTTATTTTTTATGTCACTATACAGCTGAAATTTAATTGCTTATGGTATATAATAAAAAATGCATGCATCATGCTATTGACTCTCACAACATATCAAATACTTTTACTGGTCAAATCGTCCAGTAGACCTAGAATGGAGAGCATCCCCGAGAAGTTCTGTTTGAGGGAGTTCTATGAGACGGAGCAGAACTTCCGCGTCAGATCCCTGCAGGGCCCGATCGACCAGAAATCTGACGGGATAGGCTCGGAAACCAGAGTCGGAGCGTTAGAGTTGCCAAAGAGTAGCATAGGAAATGGAGGAGAAAGGCCTTATTCACTAATGGGGCCCTCGTCAGCCATTGCAGTGCACCCACACGATGGATGCACTTACCAGACACAATGTTAAATGGACAAAGCTATTTGGTTCCAATGTTTTATCTAGACATGACGAATAGACCACACAGGAAACAGTTACGTGTTTAGGGGGCTCTATATAATGCATGTCCCGAACTGGACTCAATGAAGTATACACCCGGTTGAAAATCGCTTACCATTGCCATTCTGCCTCAAGCAGGCAAGTCCACCCCCAAGCACCGACGTATTTGGTCCAATGGCCTGAGGCTGTTGGGCAAATGGGGGCGGCCGTAGCGAATGGGGTGGGTGCGGAAAGAGAGGGGTGAGGCCGAAGGGGAAGTAATACCGATTCAGCCCGCTACGAATACATTGCCCGCGACGAGGGTAGCTTGTAGCAGGCCCTACCAGGCGCAGCGCATCAGTCACCACACCGTTCGGAATGGATCATTCACTAGTGGCAGCGAAAACCTCGACATCAATATATCTGTTATAATTCTGTATAGAAAATCAATATATCTGTAATAATGACATATGACAAGTTTAAGTGTCGTGCATTACGATTGACACTGGGCATAAATACACTAGAAAAAAACTGATTGACTTAAACTTCTATAAGCTGTCGAGAACTTTTAGGAGCGCACGAGAGACCTTCTCGTGACATCTACTTACTGTACAACTTCAAGTTTCAATAACTTAATTTCATAGTTTCCTGGAAAAGTGTCTCGTTAGTTTGCATCTGCATTAGAAAAATCTACATATCAAATAACATAGATCAGAGCGTTCCAGATGAAGCATAAACAGCATAAATAAATGATTTGACTGTTTATATTAAAATACAAAGAGTATATCTTTTTGCAACCTAACTTATACTTTACCACTCGAAATCAACGGTTTTTTCTACAGAATATTTGGCCCTTGATAAACACCTAATGCGCCTTCGTGTATAATCCCTAAATGCCAAGGTATTAATGGTAAATATCAGTCTTCTGTCCCCACACAGCCATCTCTAGTTGGTTCCCAAATGCTTCCCTTCTAGCTCGTCCCGTTAACGGCTTGTGGATCGTCAAGCATTAAGCACAACGGCGTTTGCAGTGGTCGAACGCTACAATTTGAAACAGTGTTTTTTTGTGCAAAGACGCACTATTGAAGTTAGTAATTGATACTTCGACACGCCGCAAGCGTTACGCAGAATACAGACGATACTTCAAAAACGCAATTGATCAAAAAATCCAAAGCGACTGGTTAACTCGGAAATAAAATGACGAGCTATAGCACCGTTGTAGTACGGAACAAGGTGCGCGCCGATCCAGCGACGTCTAGGTGACGTCGTACTCAATTACTTAATCTACCGAGGAGCGCTCCGCAGCCTATCTCAAAGTAAGGATTACGTATTTACCTCTACAAGATATGTTGTATTAACAATTCAAGGCCCAAGGCCATCACTAGGGTCGCTGATCACATGATGGGACGCAAGCCACGGTTTAGTTACTTCTTTGATCACATCGTCTCCTCTCTTGACTCTCATTTTTAGTTGAGTAGCTGTGTGAGTAAACACTTCTGCAGCTCAGAGAACCCAAGAATTAGTGTCGAATAACTTATAAAAACTCACGAAGAGTTACTTTATGGTGCTTCCTGTAGCACGAAGGTTTCGTTAACCTCTATTTTTTTCCTAAACAACGACGAAGTAACAGCGACAGGCAACGGCGAGTTCTATGGTAGCCTGCTGCAAACCCTTCTATAAGCCAAAATGAAAACAGCAGAATACAACTCGCTCTTAGTTTTTATTTTAAGAGCATTGGGATAGAAAGCAAGCTTTTAGCCTACTCTTTAGCTGCATACCTTTTTCATGTTATATAGAAATAAGATCCAACCACAAATAAGAAAAGAGAAGATGAAGTATGTCAGCAGACGATGACTTCTACAATGAAATGATGCTTACTCGCCATCGCTTAAAATTCTTATCGTTCTTGAGCAAGCTTGTTGTGCTTCAAGATACACGATGCATAAATTTACATGCGATGGATCTTCCAAAGATTGGTTCTATCCAAAGCTGGTGTGCACAGATCTACAATACAGTGTAAAATCAGTGTAGACCTATACACTATGACTGATTCAGATTTTCAAATATCAAACAACAGCTGAAGTTCCACACCCCAACTCTCCTGCTGACGATTTATCCTGGGCCCGCAGTTATTTATTAGCGAGCACAGTTAGAGGTAACACCGCTTAGCCTTACGTGTAGTCACTATCCACTGTGCCATTAAGCGTAGGGACAACTTTTCAACACTGGCCGACACCGTTGGTTCGCTATAGAACGCTCGACAACGCGCTCAGTCGTCCTGTAAATCGGACTGCATATAGTCATGTGTCGTTGACTGCTTAAATACAGGTCATCGCGTATAGCTTCTTTCTAAATCAGTAGCAACAGCTGGTCTTTAAGTAAAGGCTAGTTCAGGCACAGCTGAAGAAGGACCAGATGGCCAAACAGTAGATTCCACGACCAAACGTCAGGCATGAACCCGTTGACGCTTCTAATAGCACGCGTACAGCTCTATACGGGCGTATACAAATCTGTTCCGTTAGTTCGCTAGCTTGTGCTATTGGCAAAGTCCGCACTTTGAAAACTCTTTCAGAGGTCATTCGTTGTGCAGTTTTGTTGATTACGTATAAACACCTAAGAATGCTCCGTAGGCAACTCGTAGGTAAAGCGCGACGTTTTTTAAACGAATACAGGTCTGTGCCTATACGCATAGACACAAAGTATATAACATCAACATGTTCATAAACCCAGTTCACTAACATTCAGTCAGATTTTCGCACTGTTCATATGCGCTTCCGAAACCTACTTTGCCATATATGTGGCGAAGGCAATTCTAGCATCGACCATTGTAGAAGGCCTAACATGATTTGGGCCCGTATCACTGCACAATACTGTCTACCAAGATAAGCTAGAATGTGCTACTTACGTACCGTTTTAATAGACCCTTTAGTTTACACGAAAATAGCATTTCTTTGTTTATTGCGGTGTTGACAAACCCTACTATTCTGTTAACTTCAATCAGCGAAATCAGCCATGCTCCAACATTGCACTTACCCTAATATGAATTTGTTTTTAAGATTCCTTGAGAGATGCTCTCTTGCACTACTAACCTAATGAAAAACTCCCTTTCAGGATTCTGTTTTGAGTACTATCGCTGTTATACGGTCTATACACAGAATAGCAGACGAATGACGCTTCTTACAGTAAATTCTGAAACTTGCTTTAATTTTTACTATAATTTATATACATCACAGGAATTCAATATCCGTCTGACTAATCACGACGTCCATATTCGTATACGTTCGCTGAACACCAATAGTCAACAGCTGAATGAACGAGAATCGATTATCGACTGGAAGCTTATAAATAAAACCACGTACTTCTATTGTACTGAGACGAATCGTATGACTATGATGAGATCAATGTATCGGCAGGTGCTATCTCTTTTCTCTGGGTTACCCATGGGTGGGAGAGGCCTAATAAGGACAAAATCAGTAGCACCCGTCCATATTCGTTCCCTGTCCATCATACAGGCAGAATAATAAAAGGGGCAATGTTCTAACACACAACAAATACTTTCAACTCTGTTGGCATTTACTTATGACCGATAAAAAATCAATCCTAGTCTAAAAAATTCCGGTAAATTTGGCTACTTTCTACAAAACACAATTTATTTTTATATAATTTCACTTACTAGAATGAAAACGCCCAATTGTCAAAGAACCACCCTTTTTACATCGGTGTGATTTTTAGCTTTTTAATTTTATTATTGATTTGTTACCATCTGCTCGTCCTCATCATTCTTAAGATCCTTGTTCGCGACACTGTCATAATCCGTTTTTTTTTTTCTCTAATGCCTTTAAGTATCAATGCTTTACTTCCGCTCCACACGGCTTCCTCATACTTGTCCTTACAATGTAACTACCTTCGTATAATGTGACAACTTCTTGCCACGTATTATTCGTTTGGTGACACTATATATATTTGTGTTCCATTTTTAGTTGTGTTTACGAATTGTCACTATGGCGATCTGCTGTGTTTCTATCATTGGGAATATGAATTTTTTCGATAATGTTTTTTATAAATCACGTTGCAACGGTTACGTGTGTGTATTTTATACAGCCTGCGGTGACATCGACTTCGGCAAACGGAGTAATATACTCGTTTCGATAGTTTCACACACATCTGCAACACGAGTGCGTCACTACGAGTTCACCACCGAAAGCTATTACGAAGGGGAACAGCGGCCGCAGAACTTCATCTAGACTAACTTAAGGTCGTGATCACGCATGTTATGGTGTAGATTTAATAACTATCGTCGTCAGCATCGAGACATCAGTCGCTTTGTCGTCGTTATGGCTATACACTCGCTTGAATAGCAACGCCGACATCACATCACTCCGCTAGACATCTTCTAATTCTAGGAATATAAAATATACACCCCGGCTAAAAAGGATTTACAATACTTTAACGACATTTCTGAACGAAGACAGTCAGCCAACCCCATGGTCTAACTGGCTATGATTCAAATGTTCTCGTTAGTGAACCAATAAATAGCTTCGATTTATCTCTGGGAATAGAACATCAGTGCTTGATGTCGGTGTTGCTACGATGCATTTCCTTCAGTCATATCAGTTAGCAATTGTCGTTTATCATCTTCAGTGAATTGTTTATATATCATCATTGTTACTGTCAATCGTGTCTTACAAAATGTATCACTAGAAAGTGGGGAAGGGATCCAATGAAGTACGGTGTGACACAATCGATGCATGGCCCCACACGGCAAGAATCGTATAAGACTGGTGGCCTTAGAGGTTTTTGTGCTACAAAAGAGACCAACTATTACATAACGTTCTTGTTAATTTATAATGACTATAATTTTATGAAGGGAATGTGGCAATATCCCCCATTGACCACCGAAAATTCCACTGGGCCCCAGTGCAGATAGATCGTATTGCACACCCGGCCTCTTTTTGTTATTTTCGCATCTATTCCAGTCAGAGTCCACCCAGCCCACATCTATATATTATATACCATTGGGTACTTCTGTGACACTTGAACTGGATATCGATCCGATCAGCTGAATGCGTTGTGCACCCAGAAGAATTTGGACAGTTCGACGACACGTGTACGTACGACCATTGCGCCACAGGCCAACGCGTCATCATGATGATCATTATCATCACCGTCCTGTTCTAGTTCGGTCCTTCTTTTGGCGTTTTCGGTACCTTCGATCCGTTTCTCACTCGAAGATATTTGCAACTGTGACATAGTCGAATGACAACGGCGGGCCAATCGGGGTGCCCACGAAAGCACTCACATCGGCGGGGACACTTCTGTGGCAACTGCCGCATCGGTAGCTTCTGTGGCACGATGTCGGTGCCATAGAGCACATCGAGAAACGCTCTGCTCGCCTGCTGATTCGCTTTTCTATTTCCTTCTAGTTCCCCATATGGGAACGATGTGCTAGCAAAGGTTGCTGCTCGTTAGGGTTCGAGTATTGGCAGGCAGCGCGGCGAATTCTATCGACATAAAATCGAAATGTTACAGGGGTTAAACTACTCACACGGCATCCCTTTACAGTCGACCAGGGAACGGCACTGGCGGAACAACACAGGGGGAGAGTCATATTAAAGCACACGTGTGTATATAGAGGATTGGTGGAATTGAGGGGCCGTTGTTTTTGTCTACAGATAGAACTATGGTCTCTTTCTCTCTGTCTCTCCCCCTCTCGCTTTCTCTATTTCTATCATTTGTGATAAACCTCATTCATCGTACGCGGGTAGCGGGGGCCGAACGACGGGTGCACATGTATATATATATATATAATTAGTTGTATTTGTATATATATTTTTTTGTTCTGCACTATTCTGTATGTATAGTTGTATTTACAGACACCGGGCCGCGGAACCTGTGTGAAAAAAAACTGTTTTAGTGAATAATTTAAATTATATTACCAGGTTACTCGCCGTTGACGTGATCGAACATATAATTATACAGTCATATTACAAACCAAGCGACAATACAATTGGTATTTGTACGACAATGATACGACACAATACTGTCCTACAGTTGTGCCGTGTCAGTTTAGTCTTGTTTGTTGGATATTTTCACATTGGTTTTGATGTTCACATAAGCGTTACATGTTTGACGGGTTCAGTTACATTCAAGTATTTGATTTCTGCATGTTATTCTCGTGTGCCATAGACGTGCGTGGCCAGTGCAATAACGCGCGGTTAGCATCTCACCGCCGTTATGAAACAAGAAAGGCATCAGTCTCTGAGAATAATACGATTCATGTTGATTGACAATTAATATTATTATTATCATCATCATCATCATCATCATCATCATAGAGCTTAATAACAAGACTTGATATGCTTCTTACTTGGCCTTTAATGGCTGGCGCATGTCATACTCGAACAAGTTGCACGAAGCTCTGCCGCCGCTCCAGTTTCTATGAAGAAGAAACGGGGAGACAGGACATCCCCTTGTGGGTAAGGCACCCCGGAGACCGCGCATGCCACGACACCTATTTCGTCCAACTGAAGTATATGTATCATGAATCACATGCAGATGAGGATCCCTCTGTCTGTTCGTTACTGAACCTGCTCGCGTCAAGCATGAATCATAACTAAGAATAGGTCGTTTAAGCATTCAGAGGAACAGAGAAGCACAGCGATGAGTCCGTACCTCGCATTCATAGAACGTCATGGCTGGACGGGGCTTGTCCTTTACGGGCGGATGGAGAAGAGATATCAATTCGCAGAGGTACACGGGATAGTCCATACGGTGGCCCTTTTCATCCTTCGCAGTCCACTTCCTTGATTATCGCTCCTCCGACGTCCTTTTCTCTCGCTAGTTTTTTCCTCCACTTTCTGCCATAAGGATGTGCTGATGATGTAATTGATGGTAGTGATTACAACAGTGATTACGCACTGTGGTAGCGGAAACCTTAGCCTACCACCCATGGTGTATTCCTTCTGCTTAGTTGACATAAGTTGAAATTCCCCTTAAACATATGTATTCTTCCTTTTTGAATATATGATCATAACATAAGGCAGCAACAACTTTTTGAAGTCGTCGCGCTCTCTTTGCTCACTGGGTACATATGCGCACACATGCGTTTTAGTGGTGACATACGCCAATGATGGGCTTTACGGTCCCCAACTAGCGGGACAGAACTGCAGCTTCTTATTGTAAAAGCAGTAGCGGTATTGGGGAACTGTGTGATGTTTCAAGTCGTCAGTAGACTGTCACAGCTGTTGCTCCGAAAGGGATCCTATCTTTATGTCTGTCTGTCGGTCTGTCTACCTGTTTCAGTCCTCTCTATCTGTTTATCTGTCTATCTATCTATCTATCACCCTACTGCTTTGAATTATCATGACACCAAGGTAGGAAGATGGTTAGATACATGTTGAGACGACGGCGTAATGTATCATTGTTTGGGTACGTACACTCCTCATTACAGTTGGGGCTCTGTCCTGTTGGTGCGTCCATTACCGCTAACGTGCTGGTTAGGTTACTTTCCGCCTATGGACTCCGCACCCAAACAAGTAGTCTTGGGTGCACAACATTCCCGATTTCGCAATTCACTGTGCGCGTTTTGCCGTTGATGACGAAAACGGCTTCGTTAGCGGCTGTCACCAGGTAAGTACCGAATACGCCGGCGCTCGCCAGTGGACGCCGAGAATTGCCCCACTCTGCTGATCGGGGATCCAGAGCGTGCGCTAAAAACGTCATCGTAGCGCCCGTTATTGTACACTAAATATTTTTACGGAATCCGATTAAAGGAAAATTTGATAGGCGCTAACCACAAAACGCGAAAACAAAAGATTACGGAAAATTGTCTTATCTATCGAAGGAAACACTGGTAAAGAGTGAACTGAACGAAGAAAACTCAGGAGATCACGTGTATAGCCATTCAAGCTGCTTACCGATGCCTGTGATCATCTCGACTTTGCCATCTTGCAAATTTACTAAAAGGATATCTTCTTTTGAGGACGATGATGCGTAAAGGTCATATGAGTGCGAAGTCCGCGAAGGGAAGAAGGCTAAATCGGCGATAGCAAGAGTTGTTTTGACGTCGAATAGGAAATGTAGACCTACGGAAAGGTAAATAGGCACCGATTTATTTTTTTTTTTAATAGAACTAGTTGTAAACGTAGTCACCAAAAAAATTCCTAGTCAATTTGCAAAGATGGTAGCCTGCTGACCAATGAAAACTTCAAGACTGGTAGAAATCTAATGACGCGAAACGTCAATCAAGTAATTCAGAGCATAATTTCGAATAGCCGCACTTTAGAAAGCGAAGTTTTCATGTTATGAAATAATGTCGAGATGAAGTTCTCCAGATAATTTCGTTTCTGTTTCAGTGGTAAACGTGTTGAACTGGTCAAACTTAGTAGTTTTATTCCTTGACATTAGAAAGTATCGTATAGGTAGGCGAAATTCAAAAGCATATGAATCTACTCCTCAAATGCTTCAAGTAGGCCCACTTCTCATCTAAAGTCAACAGAAAAGAAGCGAACTAACCTGTATCGGTGACGGCCTGAACAACGATCGTGACATCGTTACTTATGGAACTTGTCTGGTTACTATGGCTGTTATTATTATTGTTGTTATTGTGGCCATTGCTGTTCTGTCCTCGCTGATCCGGCGACAATGTTCCGGACGTGGAAGGAGAATGCAATGTGACCACGTATTGTGAGTCCGGTGCTACCCGAGGCCTTCCCAATAAAGATGGCCGGAACAAGATCACCTCGTCGGTGATATAGTCAAGAACAAGTTGACCGCTGGGAATTCCACTGTCAGGATCAACGCACGATACCACGATCAAGCCACCTGATAAGGAATTTTGTTATTAAGTTTCACTGCTACTTACAGATCGTTCTGGCTAAGATTACTCGAATCATGGCCTTCGAAGAATAATTGCATTGAGTAGCTTTTATGCAATATTCTATCCTGCTTTCGAGCTCAACAAATTTGTAGATATGGAAAATCGCAGATTTCGCAGTCGTACAGTTCCGATCACGTTTGATTGAGTGGATCAATCCTTGTTTGTTACGTGAATCGGTGATTGACCGCAGTTCAAAAAGTAAGAATCTAGAAGCAAAAAAAAATTCATACAAACTTACCAAGCGCTACAAAGTCGGCCGCAACAGGATGGCAAGTAACATTTCCAAAATCAATGGACCTGACGTACTTCATTGCACGTAGGTCCATTTTAGCAAGACCATTTTGACCCGAATGAACAACGTAGCTATACTTCCAAGGAAAACCGAGATCCGACGTAACCGGAATGAACAGCGCCGACACGAGATCGAAGTGCCCCTCGACGGGCTCTGGATGGACGGTATGGTGCTTCTTCTTCTGAGAGGCGTCGCGAATTATCTGGATGGTCTTCGTGCCTCGGTCAACCGGGCCTCGCCAGCACAGCACCCACAATTGATCAAGATGAGGTACATAGTACAATTCTACCGGGTACTTATCTGTTACCACGACCTGATCATTGTAATTGAATAATTTGCGAAAATAACTTAGTTCTTATAACAATGACCTGTTTCAAATAACAATCAACTGCTGCCGATAAGCAATACTGAAAGCATACACTTACAAAGACATCGGTATTTTCAATACATGTAAGTACTCACATCCACGACTACCATCTGCACGCGCGAGATAACAAGGACTCGGCCCCGCGTTGGCTGCGAAACATACACGTAGCGATCTGCGACGTTGATTGCACGTCCCCATGAGCATGGATGACCACGTTCGGCACACAGAGCTTCTTGAGTACCAGGAATAATGTCGACAGAGGCAACCTGATCCCACCAAAACATCAACCAAAATAGTATAATTAACGGATAGATAAACTAGCAATAAGAACTTACTACCTACCAAGACACAACTCGTTAAAACGCAATTAGTAGACCGTCGGTCTCAGTTGCATAATATAATATATGAATGCGTCTTCTAACCTGATGATAAAGGCGACAATTATCAGGATCGTAAACCGAGATGCCCCAGTCGTGGAACGCAAAAAAACGCCTCTCCTCTGCAGGTGGAGCTGCGGCAAAAGATAGAGTTTAAATTATATAGCGTTTCGCAAGAAGTACGTTAACGTCCCCGAACCTCCGTCTAAACTGGAGTCGAAATTCTGTTCCGTCGAACAGTTTTACAGCATTTAACAGCTGAGAAGAGCGTTCTCTCACGTTGTTTAGATGCTTTAGAATAAAATTAGATGACGGGGGCTTCCTATTCTCGGTTTCCACGGAAAGTGAACGTTGCTGACCAAAAACGCTATTACAAGCAAAAGATAGAAACGTTCTATGCTTTTGCACTACCTGCATGCACAACGATCAAAACTTACTAGGAGCTGGTTCGTCCTGCACAACCAGTGACGATATGTCTCTAGCCGATGCTCCAGCAGGACTTGTGGCTACACACATGTACGCCCCTGTATCAGCGTATCCGATCTTTGCCACCATTAAGGCAGTGCCATTACCCACAACTGTATATTTGCCCCCAAAATCGCCGTTGTTAGCCGATCCTATTACGCCAGCTGCGGTCATAAATGAGGAAATCGTTTTTGAGTCTGAATTTGAAGATAGGGGGGTAGACATTTTAAGTGGTTCATCGTTTTTAAGCCATTGCACAGAGGGCGCAGGAACTCCTGTGACATGACACTCCATTTCGGCTAGTTCACCTGGAGCACGTGATTGTAGTCGCGGAATTACATGTACCTCCGGCGTTGCTGCAAACAAATAAATGTCGGTATCTATTCTATGGTTGTTTACACTGATATTTATCGTAGTTGGAAATTCATTTTTATTGTAGTAGAACTAGCGAAATTTTTATCGACTACTCACTGTGAACAAGCAGTACGTGGGTCTGCACAATATCGGAATTTTTTTGTGCATGACACGAGTAGTTGCCTGTATGTACCAATTGAACGTTCGTCAGATACAGCGAACCATCAGCAAACACCTGTGCATAAAGGGTGCATAATTATGGATCATTACATTTGAAGATAGCTCACACACATTAGCAGTCTGAAAAAATTGTCCCGCTACCTTTATCTTTGATCTTACCCACCCAGGCTGTATCCGGCTTCTCTAAATAACGATAAGCAAAAGTGAGTAGAGGGCATTCTGTAAATCTCTTTCTACTGGAATAGATACGTTTGTCTTTGTTTCTATTTTTGTTATCCTAAACAGTTGCGCTTGAAAAGTTCATTTGCAATTAAAGGTAGTATGGATATACATGCTCAAAACGATCCCCACATACCTTAATATCTTCCTCCTGTAGCGTATTGAGGTCGATCCCGTGCCTGCGCCACACGATAGGCGGAGGCGGACGGCCAGTAACATCGCACTTCATCTCAACGTTGTCTCCCACCTGGGCCCGCACAGACGAAACTTCCAGCTGTTTCTCCAACGATACCACAGCCACGCCTGTGATACGCACAACCTTCTGTCAGTACGTATATATGACATTGTACCTGCCTGTTTTCAAGCACAAGTCTCTTGACCTCCCTGGTCCTACACTGCATGTATATATAGTCTTACATAAAATATTTTGTGTGGTTAGAGAAGACATTCGAGAAAGTCTATCGAGTCTAAAATAGACGATTCCTATCCCAAGAGCGCAGAGATCTCGAAAAAGTCTAATACTGATGGTCTTCGATTGGAGTTTTCATTCGAAATTGGTTATCGTGTAAATTGTTGCTTAGAGTATCATCAATGGAAATTCACATATATGTGCTTCTCTTTCATAGAACAGTTTTTGAATCTGCTTGTTTACTGTAAGAAGGTCTCAAGAGCTGTGTTTCGAAACGACATAGCTTAGTAGATGACAAGGCTTTGTAATCTCTTAATATTAAATATATGATTATGCTAGAGCTCACAGGCTACGCTCTCGTTCCGGGAGGTTTAGAAGATGTCAAGCTTCGAAAAATACATGGTTCACTCGTCTGCTATGCGCAGCCTCTAAAATCAAATGCCCTTTCAGTTGCTGTCTCTCTCCGTTCTCAACTAAACTATTCTAAAATGATCGTTCACATTATTGTTACTGTGTTCACGCCTCGGCTACATTAAGCGTGTACAATGTCAGCCACAAATCCAAATGCATGCTTCTGTCGGACGCGTGTCTTCACTTCCCTTGTATGTTCCGTCCCGTATTCTATGTAGGCGTGTATTCGTACAACAGCGCCATCTACTGCAAGCACTCTTGTCCGTATCTATTTCCGACCTATAGCGTTGGTTTGACGCCGGGGTAAAGAAGCTGCCGATGTAATGCGGGGATTGGGGCGATTTCATTCGAACTGGAAACTAATTCAACACGCGACAAAGGTGACGCAGGGAGATAAATAACGAACATAGAACGAATAGTGCACAAATCGGTATTGGGAACGATTCCGAACAGCCAGGTGTCGTTTTCCTGAACTGCTGTCTAATCCCAGCCATCGGACGTTGTTGCAGTGGTTATGGCAGATGATGCGGCGTCCGCTGTATGCTGCCACTGTTTTCGTTGTTGCCGCTACTGTTACCTTCAACAGAATTAAAATGGCTGAATAATACCAGCAACATTGCCTTTCTTGCCATATTTTCCCAATGATGCACACCTCCATTCTGGCAGAGAATCTCTTCTGTTCCTTATTACTGGACTGCGGAAACGCTAGTGGCGCTTTACCGCCGCCGTAACAGACGCCGCTTGGAGAGGAAAGTACGGCTTCTCTGAGGGGGGTTTGGGGAGGGGGGATAGGAAAACTGCAACTGTACTAGCTAGAACCTTCTGTGGAATCTGGCATTATTATGGGGATGTGAACCGCGACCTTAAGCGCCCTGGGGGGATTAAGGCGGCTGACTGCGGAGCGTGGAAGAGAACACCCAACGCAGGGGGGATGGGCCAAACTATGCGCTAATCTAGGGGGGGGGGTAGCAGGGGTCTTTAGGGCGTCCCAAAAGGTCGGGGTTTCATGGGAGCACAAGCGGTGATGGAACGGAAAGAGTTCAATAAAGAAGGCGACAGAGAAAGTGGGTGACAGTGATGCCGGTGGTGCGTCGGCGATCGCCGCGGGGGTTGGGCTGACTGGAACGCCATCGTACATCATCAAAGCCACCGCCACAGCAGCGTCGGCCGCAGTTATGGCCGTCGAACGGCCAACCGAGGTCGGCCTGCTAGTCTGATCTCGTCGACAGTCGTTCACTGTCATGGCCGCCGAATTTAAGGCTGCAACGGAAGCAAGCTGAGAACCGACGGACGAACAAACGACTGGAGGAGCGAAGTGGTGATGCCGGGACTGGTAGTTGTGCGTTCGCTTAGCAGCATCCACTAATGCATTGACATTCTCGACGGCCCATATATACCCACAGCCGACGCAATGGCGACCCCTCTATGCGGCTGTAACAGAATCAGCGCCACCATCTGCAGCGTACCGCATCGTAACCAGTACAAGCATTTCCATACAGATATGGAGAGATGGGCAGGGAGTGCGAGGTCTATTAAAAACACGAGAAAGTTGGAGAATGGATAGCAGAGTCGGACATATAGAATAAATCGTTGCTAGGTAGATGACATTTTAAACAACACTGCTGCATAGACATACGTTTTAATGAGAAATGATGGGGCGTTATCTTCTCCTGTAGATTTAGATTTATCACCACTCATTTTGGCATATTGCCATTGTGACAATTGGGCCTCGAATAGATATTCTATCACAAAAGCATAACAGTCCCGTATCATTTGAGTATGATAAGACGTCCATCATCCTGATCAGTCCATTTGCGAAAGTAGTAAAGTCTAGCTATTAGTATACTAGTTCTGTAAAGAATATGATTTTCAAAGACGTGTACATGAATCGCAAACACATACGCTCAGAGTCTGATCGTACACTTATAGAGTTAGACATGGACACCTTTTACATAAACTATTCGGGGTGGTTACCATCTGAAGTATGGCTACTCAGTTTGTGAGCTTAATGGGTCCGATTATTGAAAAAAAATAGTTTACTTCTAAAAAAAATGAATAAAATATGACTACTTCTATTAGGAAACTGTGCGCTCATACAATGCAGGAAATAAAACGCGAGAGCAAAATGACATGCGGGCATACTACAATGTCGATATTTTCCACTAATAATTAACGTAACTTGCTTTATTACAAAAAAAAAAAACATGTAATTCACAAGCAATTAAATTAATATTGCTTTGGTCGACATAAA